CAGATGGAGACTAGGCTCCAGGGTGTGAGCCAGACCTGGATTCAAATCCTGACCCTCCGCCCTACCCGGTTTGGTTCAATGGATAAAGTGTTGGCCCCCAAACAGAAGGGTCCTGAGTTCAGTTCCTACCCAGAGCACCTACCTTGGTTGCAGGCTCGATCCCCAGCCCTGGTCAGGGCATGTGTGGGAAGCAACCAATCAATGTGTCTCTCTCACATTGATGTTTCCCTCTCTGTCTCTCCCCTTCCCCTCCAATATCTCTAAAAATCAATTTTAAAAAATATCCTCTGGTGAAGATTAATGAAAAAAAATTTCCTGCCCCTCCCCCTTTACTTCTTGACTCTTGTAAATCAGAGCTAAGACTAGAGGGAGATGGTAGAGTTGGTAAAGACAAGAGCTCTGGAGCCAGATCCTGTGGACTTGCATCCCAACTCCACTACTTACTAGTATATAACATAAACTCTTTGTGCCTCAATTTTCTCATCTGTAAAATGGGGGTGATGATAGTTGCTACCAAATATGGTTGCTAGAAGGATTACGCATCTACATATATGTACTTTGATAAATTTAACTGGAATGTGATATAGCTCATAATACATAAGTTCTATTTAGAACAGTGGCAAGCAGCTAATAAGTATAACATCAGTTAAATATGCTTTTTTCATAGGATTGTTGGGAGGGTTTAAAGAAACAGCATCTGAAAATAGTACCTTGTTCATGCTTAACGAATACCCATCCTCTCTCCTTGTGATTAATACATTTTCAAAATCAGAATCCTCCATCTTTTGGTCATTTGTCTTACACTGTGTTCCCTGCAGCCTTGCACTCCCCCATGTTTGGCACCCCAACTACAGTCCTCCCCTGTGCTGGCTGTGGGTTTGCCCAGGGGTAGGCAGCACATGTTATGCTTTCCAAAGCACTTTCTTATCCATGAGCCATGAATGCTGATAAGAGAGGTACTGATGGCCCTAACTGGTTTGGCTCAGTGGATAGAGTGTTGGCCTGCGGACTGAAAGGTCCCAGGTTCGATTCTGGTCAAGGGCATGTACCGTGGTTGCGGGCACATCCCCAGTAGGGGGTGTGCAGGAGGCAGCTGATCGATGTTTCTCTCTCATTGATGTTTCTAACTCTCTATCCCTCTTCCTTCCTCTCTGTAAAAAATTAATAAAATATATTTTTTTAAAAGAGAGAGAGAGACTGAGGGCGGAAGTGGGGTCACTGTGAGCCCCTGCACTTCTCTGGGTCAATTTATCTGTGAAGGAGAATAATATCCCTGCCCTTTGACCTGTTGACAAAAGAATGTCCAGCCTTAAGGAAAATTCTTGTAAGAGTTTGAGCCAAACTGATGAGGACCGCAGAGAAGCAAAATCTCAACGGACTGAGAAAATATTCCAGAGAAAGTCAGTTTTACCGCTACAGACAAATCTCATTTCTCAAATGTCTCCCATCTGGATGGAACAATTCGGTTCTCCACCAAGTTGTTCACAGAAAAAAATGTCTCAGTTGTCAAACCAAACTTCGGTTTTTGAACTGACAACCATATCAGCTTGACAAGAGGCGTTTCTCAGGCAACAAACAAAGGAGAGAAGGTTTTTGTTGCTAGCAAAATTAACAATTAGCACAACTTTAAAATATAAAAAAGCCATCTAGAGTGCTAATGTTGCTAAGAGTGTGAAAGAAACAATGATCACAGACAGTTGAAGTGGTAGAAAAACTGTTGTTGATTTGGAAAAGCAGTTAGCCAGTGACAGCCATTTTCGGAGGCGATGACATAAGAAAAAACAAAGATGCTACATGCTGAACTGGAAGACATTCCTGGACCGAATGCTTAAAGTGACTTTGTTTAAGGCTAGTAGGGGGTGGTTTGATAAATTTAAGAAAAGAAGTGTTTATTTACAGATTAAACAGTACATTAGACATGTACTGTATATAAGAAAGGTTAAAACAGGGAATCATTTGGGGGTCTGGAACGGATTAATTCAATTTACATTATTTCTAATGGGAAAAAAAATGATTTGGTTTTTGGAATAAATCGAGTTTGAGAACCGAGGTTCCACTGTGTTTTATACATTATTTATACATTATAATCAAAGGAGGAGCCTTAAGGGGGGTTGCATGAAGTTCACTGGTGGTAGATTAGGGAGGCAGGAGAAAGCAAAGGGGGGATCTCTAGGACGGGATAAAGAGTGCAAGGGAGAGATACGCACTCTTATTACATTGTGGGTACAGGATAGTTAACATTTACAGCACATAGAGATGGTTGTGCCCTGAGGGGTTGTGAAAAGGAGACGACTTTGACATTTCAAAGGTATGTTACCTTAGATACAAAAAGACACAGACAGGCCCCCTTGAGGTAAAGACTGACCTTAGTCAAGGAAGTTCATGCCTGGGACGTGACTGCGCCATGACCCACTTTCAGTCAGGAATTTTTATGTTCATGCCATTCCATGTGGTTACTTTCGGTCTCTGAGTTTGTAAGGGCTCCATGCTGGCCTCCCCTCAGCTCGTCGGGTTTAGTCTGTGGACCTTTTTGGTCCACAGGCCTCACAAAGCTGTTGTGAGCAGGAAACGGATGTATGGGTGCACGGAGGAGACGAGGTGTCGTGTGGGATATTATCACCTGGTAGTCAAACCTGAAGAGCCTGGGGAGGCCAGGGGAGGGCCAGCCGGTGAGGAAGGCTTCCCAGAAGGGTGTTTTGCTCTGGGTAGTGTGTCCCTGAGACCAGCGCCTTCCCTGCAATCAGTCACCAACCTGGCCCTGGCAGGGAGAAGGAGGCCCGGCAGGCCTGAATGCCGCAGGGAGGCCAAATTTGGACATGGGCTAAGAGGTTGGCCAGTGCAGGAGGTGGAATGTGGCCAGGGCTGTGGGAGGGAGGGCCTGCATTCCCAGTGACTGCCTGACAGTGACTGTGATGACTTCGAGTGGGGGTTCCAGCCAGCCCCCGCCATAGAGAGGGCCCTCACAGTCAGCACAGAGAACGTTCTTTCTCCCCAGGGAAGGGGGAGCCCACGTCGAGGAGCCAAGCAGCAAAAAACAGGCAGGATCACAGACTGACATCAGGCAGATGGGGGAGGGGCTCAGTCAGAGACAGGGATGTGGATGGAGGATGGGAAAGACTGTTCCATAGACAGCGCTTGAGGCTGAAATAATGACGAGAGGAGCCAACACCAGCAGTACTTCCTGTGGGTGAAGTACTTCTGGGATAGAAAGTGCTTCCCCATTCATTATTCATTCGTTCCTTTCTCCTACGAGGGTTCTGAGCCTGCCTAGGTAGGGGGACCAGGGGGGTCATAAAGTGTGAGGCAGTGTGTGTGTAGGGGGGATACTGGAAGGTGGGGGTGTGATCAGGGAAGGTGGAGGAAAATCTGCACCCCAGAGGAGACAAGACCCCTAAGAACAGAGGCAGGGGCTCAAGGTGGGCTCTCTTAGGGTTCATCTGTGCACTGGACCGCCCGCTCCAAGTGCTGTGCACAAAGCCTGCTCAGCCCTTGAGTGAGAGACGGTGATGGGGGAGAGGTGCCGGAGGGAGAGGCAGCTGCTTAATGCACAGGGTGTCTGTCCTCCCTCCACAGCCTGAGAATATCCTCCCTCCCCTCAGCCACAGGGATATTGTCATACACATAGTGTTCCCTGGAGTTGTACAACATGGAGCCCAGGGCCCTTAGCCAGGCTGCAAGCTTGGGCCATGCAGGTGAGAAAACAGAGGGAGTGTGGAGGCCCCCATCCGTGCCCTTAAGCTCGTTTCCAGAGGCAGCTGTGGGAAACAGGGGAACAGGTCAAAGTGGCACGTTAGGAAAAACACACAGCTGGAGTGTCACCTCCAAACACAGCTGGAGGGTCACCTCTAATGCCCCTTCTGTCCCTCCTCCTGGTCTAGGCTGCTTTCCTGGCCGCAGGCCCAGGAGTGTGTGTGTGTGTGTGTGTGTGTGTGCCACAGCACCTCTGTGTGTGCTGTTGTGAACGCATGCCTGTGTTCTCTTAGTGTCCCTACTCCTTGGAACACTGCAGGTGTCACATGCACTCGCAGATGTGTATGTGTGGGAGCATGTGTGCACACAGGTACCTGGGAGCAGGGATTTCCAGGAGCTCATGAAACTGAAAGGGACCGGCTGATACTCTGAGTTCCAGGTGCCTGGGATGTAGCCCCTTCTCTAGGGAGACGGGGATGACTGTAATGGAGGCTGAGAGAATGCGCAGGTAGCTCTCACACTCCTGCCCCTGGTCCTTCTCCCACAGTTTGTCTCCAAACCCAAAGACCCGGCTGTGTAGCCCCAGCTCTGGCTTGGCCCTGAGGGTGGAGAGGAAGCTGATGGGCCCAGCCTTCACCTCCAGAAGGAAAGTCCTCATACCCACGAGGAGATCATCCATGGGAGATGCCAATCTGACGAGAGCTCCGGAAGCCCCCATCTGCTGACGGCGATACCACCCCCACAGGCTCCCGGCTAGGGGTAGGGGAAGAAAGTCCTTAGAGGTGGTGCTGGTGACAGTTGTTCCTGCTGCTAAATTTTCCCCATCCAGTGCCCAAAGCCAAGGTAGTGACCCCTGGGCTGGTGGGCGGTGCCGCTGCCCCAGTGGCTGTTGGCCTGCCCGCCTAGCCCGTGACTGAGATCCAAGGCCTCGGCCTGGGCCCCACGGGGAGAGCTGGGTTATAAATAGGCCTGGAACCGCCTTCCGGGGAGAGTCGGGGAGCCCGACAGCACAGTGCTTCGCAGCCCACCGCGCAGAGAGACCTGTGCTAAGAGATGCCGTCTGTGGAAAGAGACACTGCCCCGCCTTCCAGGCCCACCTCAGCCCCAACCTGGGCTCAGCTTCCGTCGGAGAAGCGCAGCTCAGCCACCGCTCCCTCCCTGCTGTTTCCCTTTGAGTCCCCAGGACATGTTTCTTTGCAGCCCCCAGAGTCAGCCTGGCCGGGGCGGTGAGTCTTGCCGGTCACGGAGGGCCGCGGCGTCCCCTGCCCGACCCCCGCCTCCTGCCGGCCGGGATCGCAGACCCCTCCTACCTGCAAACACCGCGGAGCAGTAGGCATCGCTGATGTCGGTGTCCGGGGTTCGCACATTCTCGGCGTAGAGGATGAAGACCCTCAGCATGACTGGCACGAGTTAGGGCCCTGGCCCCAGGGCGCGGAGAGGGCCGGGGAAGGGCGCGGCGAGGGTGCCTCCCTGGAGAGCGCGGCCCAGAGCACTGGCTCCCCTCGCAGACCTGCCCTAAAGAGGAGCAGCCAGGCCGGGCGGCTCCGAGGGGCGGCCTTCCGTCCCCGCTCCCGCTGCGCTGGCCCCGCCGCTCAGCGCGCCCTGGGGGAGCTCGGGGGCCTCCGCTCTTCCTCCACCTTCTCCGTCCTACCGGGCTCGGCTGGGCTGTAATTCAATGCTCCGGCCGCAGACTCTCCCCATGACACGGCATTTTGCACCTGGACGGCGAGCACGGGCTGGGCGGCGGCCGCGGTGGCCGGGCTGGACCAGCGCTCCCGGCGGGCGCTGTGAGCAGCCAGCTCTCCCTCCTGGACCGGCCGGAGGCTCGGCCCCGCCCCTGACCTTCCACCTCCGGCCGAGCGCGGAGCTGAGCTCGTCGCCTCCTCCGGGCCCAGGGATGCCAGCACTCACTCCCCCACCGAGCCCAGCCGCCGGGACCGCCCTGGGCAGCGAGATCCGGGGCCAAGCTGGGAGCAGGCGCTGGGCTGAGGAATTTCATTGACAAGAAGCGCCGGCTGCCTGTGAAACTTTGCTCCCTCTTTTCTGGTTGTAAAAGCAACACATGCTATTTTTCACACACACACACACACACACACACACACACACGCACACACGCAAGAAATCTCTGAGTCTAGAAAAAAATAGCATTAACATCTGGATTTTTACCAATCCAGGCTTTTTCCTGTGAATGTACATATATATGTGTGGAAGTTACATTATTTATTATATATCTGAGATCTTGTCCTGCTATTTCATGTAACATTTTCTCACATCATTAAAAATCCTTCATTCACAAATTTCTCAAGAGCTACCTGATTTTCTACCATTAGAATGGACTAGATTCGCAAAGCTTTCTCCTGTTGTTACACACTTAGTAGTTAGGCTCTTCCCAGTTTCTCACTATTGTAATAGTGAGAAGTAATTTTTATATGGCAAATAAAAAATGTTATATTACTTGGATTATAAAACTTGGATTAAAAAAAACAAACCCTATCTCAGTCCCCCTCTGCTAGTTCCTCAGATTGGATTCCTAGCCCTGGAGAAGGACATGCCTTTTTTTAGGTCCCAGTACCTATTGCTAAACTGCTTTCCCGGAGCCATGCAGATCCGCAGGCCCAGCAGTTGGGTGACTCACCTTCTAAAGAGAGCTACATGGATGCTTGCGCAGCTGTCAGCAAAACTTCTCCTCCATCTGCCCCTCACAGGCACCCAGGGCAGGAAGGGTCAGCAGCTGGCAGGGCTGGTTTGGCTCCATGAGGAGGTACTAGGAGGGGGAAACATTCCCCCAAGGTATGTAATTATTTTTTTAAATCATCACCCGAGAATTTCTGTTGCTTTTTAGAGAGTGAAGGGAGAGGGAAATACAGAGAGAAACACTGATGTGAGAGAGACACATTGATTGGTTGCCTCCCAGAGCAGGGCCAGGGTCAAGCTTGCAACCAAGGTAGGAGGCACGTGCCCTTGAGCAGAATCAAACCTGGGACCCTTCAGTCCGTAGACCCATGCTCTATCCACTGAGCCAAGCCAGCTAATGGGGGTCTGTAATTTTAAGATCAGGATAGCAAACATTTCCTGTGGTCACTTATGCTTTTGTTGCAATCTGTGCCTCCTCTTTTATTTGTCTCTAGCACAGTATGTGATGGGGGAGAGGAAAAGGGAGGGGTAAATGTAATCATTCATTTGACAGGTATGTATCAAGTCCTACAACATGCCAAGCACCATTCTAGGGGACGGAGACTTAATGGCGAGGACAAGTAACATGGTCACTGTTATGGGCTGAATTGTGTCCCCCTAAAATCCAGATGTTGAAGCCCTTAACCCCAGTTAGGAATGTGACGGTATTTGAAGATACGGCCATTAAATGGTGATTACGTCGTTAAAAACAAGGCTGTTCGAGTGGGTTCTAATTCAATCTGATGGGTGTTCTTATCAGAAGAGGAAATTTGGACACACAAAGAGACACCAGAAATGTGCTCACACAGAGGAAAGACCATGTGGACACAGTGAGCCATGGAGAGAAGCCTCAGAAGAAACCAAACCTGCCAACCAACAACTTGATCTTAAATTTCTAGCCTCCAGGCAGTGCGACAATAAATGTCTATTGCTTAAGTCACCCAGTGTGTGAGCTTTTGTTATGGCAGCTTGAGAAAACTAATACAGCCCCTGGCTTCAAGAAGTTTCCACTTCAGTAGAGGAAACTGATACCTATGAAATAACCAAGCCAATCACGACCATTACAAACCTGTATGTGTACTAAGGACAGAAAATGGGTGGGTGTGAGAGCAGATAGCAGGGACTCAGGGACACTGACAGCTATTTCAGATGAGATCAGAAGGCCAATTTGGAGTTCACTGGACAAGACTGAGGTTGGATCAGAGAGGACAAGTGTGTTCTAAAGAGAAGGAAGGGAGTGCTCTGGGTCAAGGCCCTGGGAAGAGTGAGGAAAGAACATCGTGACTACAGTGCCGATTGGGAGGGTGGAGGAGGTGAGGCTGGACAGCAGCGGTTTTCAACCCTTTTCATCTCATGGCACACATAAACTAATCACTAAAATGCTGTGGCACAACAAAAAATATATTTTGGCCGATCTGACAAAAAATAAGTACAATTTTGATTCATTCACACCAGACAGCTATTGTTATGTTGGCTGTCTTTTTTATTTATTTATTTAATTTGACAATCTAAGGGAAAAGAGGTCAGTGTCCCTAACTAAATAGGTACTGAGTGTTTTAAAAATTCTTGTGACACCCTGATTGAAAATCGCTGCTACAGAGAACCAGCGGGGCCTATGGGAAGCTACCCAAGGCCTGCTAAGTCCATAGGAATAATAAGAACCAACTTACTTTTCAAAAGCTCCCTCTGGCTGCTTTTTTGGAGAATGAAGTGCAAAGAGGCCAGAGTAGAGGTGAAGAGACCAGTTAGAAGCTACAGCAGAGGGTCAAGGTGAGACGTGATGATGACTTGGCCTGGGATGGGGAAAGTGGGATGGAGCTAATAGAGCTGCAGGGAGTAAGAGGGGCATTCTGCAGACCAGGTGGAGTAGATCAAATATCTTGCTGCTTCACTTGGCCATTATGTGTTGCTGGATAAAGTGATTGACTAATTGATTCATTCACTCATTCATTTAACCAAGATTTATAGGGTGCTTTGTGGCAGAAGTTTGTCAGATTCAAGTTTTAGAGAAAGGTACCAAGTAGGGAGTCAAATTTAATTTCACTGGGAAGAAGGGCAAGGTCCTATTGATCTAGGGAAAGCCCAAATTATAGTCTATTTAAAAAAATATATTTTTTATTGATTTCAGAGAGGAAAGAAGAGGGAGGGAGAGAGCGATAGAAACAGCACTGATGAGTGAGAATCATTGATCACTGCCTCCTGCATGCCCGGGTTGGGGCTCAATCCCCAGAAGGGGGCATGCAGGAGGCAGCAATCAATGATCAATGGAACCTAACAGTGACCTCTTGGCTCATAAGTCAATGCTCAACCACTGAGCCACACCATTCAGGCTGGTCTATTTTTAAAGTACAGTTTGACTCTATTCAGATGCATAAAGTAATATGAACCTGCTCTAAGGCAGAGCTAAAATTGGATCTAAGAAGCACGTAGCTGTTTGCAAATATGGTGTGACTAAAGTGGTTTGAAAAGAACCAGTCTTCTTTATAAGTTAAGTATCCCCCTCACAAGTTCTCTGCATCACTTATTCACATGGTAGGTTCTCTTCAAATTCTTCATGCACAGAGCCCCATCTGTTCAGAAATGAGCCCCAGTGAGAAGGCACCTGATTTCATTCCTCTGTATGTAGGACGTGTTTGGGGTGTCTTCTCTACTTAAAAGAACCACGTTCTCTGAGACCACCCCTGGCAACAGGAAAAGACATCTGATTCAAGCTGAACCAATCTGACGATCTCTCCCAGGAATCTGGAATTGAGTCTGAGAGCTGCTAGCCTATGTTTGGCTGGAGCTGGGATGAATAAAACTGGGGGCTCAGAGGAGCCACATGCATGGAATGGAGAATGTTCTGGAGTCAGAGAAAACGAGATCATAAGCAGGAGATGGGGTGGAAGGAACAGAGAGAAAGGTTGTTCCTGGATCCCATTCCTCTTGAGTCTATGAATTCTGAGAGATGGCCTTTGCCGGAAGCCGGTCCATCCTTGCTGCTTGACACAGTCGCTGCAGGAAAGAAACATCTGCACAGCATATGTTTCAATGGACCTGGCGTATATAGCATACTGTTCTTAATATGTTTGCTCCCTTTAGCGCCATGTGTTTTAACCAAGGTCACCTCTCCGAGAAAGGTTGTTTCCCCAGGTGGGGATTTTTCCCTGAGGTTAGGGAGGGGATACAACCCCTTAATTAAGTGCCAGGCGGGTAGTTAAGCTACATAATCTTTACTCCCTGGAATGGAGATAAGAAACGCCCTAACCTTTGTAATAGAAATTGACAGGATTAAGATCTCTCCCAGGAATCTGGAATTGAGTCTGAGAGCTGCTAGCCTATGTTTGGCTGGAGCTGGGATGAATAAAACTGGGGGCTCGGAGGAGCCACATGCATGGAATGGAGAATGTTCTGGAGTCAGAGAAAACGAGATCATAAGCAGGAGATTCTTCGCCGACTCCGTCCACACCTTTGGGGACCCCTGGACCCGCTGGGGTTGGACCCCAGCAGGCCTTGAGGGTGGTGGTCATTTGGGGCTCTCAGCTTTCTCCCTCTCCTTCATAAAACACCTTCTCCCCACTCCTCATGAGCAGTTTTGGGGAGCAGAGGTGCCTGCTTCTCTCTATGGAAGTTTCAGAGTCAAGTTTCTCCCCATCACTGTGCAGCATGGCCCAGACTCAGCCAGTCAACCACTCTCCCGGATTTGAAGTAAGTCCTTAAGGAGCTTCAGGAAGTTAGATGTGGCAGCCGCAGTGACTGCCAGGGACCAGCCTGTTCCTGCTGTGGCTCCTGCTGCCCTGAGTCCTGTCCATTTCCTACTGGAGGCTGCCATTCTGTGAGCCCCCAAACCTCTCTTGTAATCCTCTTTTGCCTCAGATGTCAAGGCTCGGCTGCTATTGCTAGCAGCCAAGAATCCAACTGACTAGTCTTTCTAGTGGATCCCTTCATATTTTGCTTCAGGTAACTTGAAGCATAGTTCTGTTTCTTGCTATAAAAGAACCTCATTATGACATTCAAGATGTATTAAGCATCACTAGCATCTTATATTTCTCCTGGGGGTTATGTTTGGGATCAGTCCATGAAGGAAGAGAGGAAGTGAAGAGTATAAGGAGTTAGAGCTCTGATGTAACCCAGAAAACACC